ATTTTTCTTCAAGTTAAGTGGATTAGTAGTTGCAATAGTTTCAAACTACACTCAGAAAAACAACATATAAATGCGTATATATCCATCGGTGCCAAAACCGCACATACAGTTTGCTGCGTTTAAAATGACAATTTTAGCATCATTCAATAAGCTTTTATTATAATAAAATGAATAATCTACCTTTCTTCTGTACGTCCTGAAAATTTCAATGACATCCACCATAAAATAACGACGATATACCCATTTAAAGTTATGAAATACAAGTTTCGCCATATTAGTTCATAATGTTTTGGACTAGAGTTGGTTGCTTTCAACATGGCGGCCAGGATCCGGAAGTAACATGTGCCGGCACAAAAACTTCAAAGGTTCCGACTTGAGTGAAGCTTCTGCCCTTCTCTATTTTGTGCTTCGGTTTTGGCCATTCTCCGTAGTTTGACGCAACTTTACATCGAGTGGCGTAGCAGATTTAATAAGTTGTAGTCGACCCAACACTGTCTGATTTCGTAAGAGAATATCATGACTTGTTGTGTTATGGACAGTTATTTGTAATATAGCTTTAGTCCCTTTTTTGACTGATGTTAATGTTTCATGCAATTCTAAACCAGTTGATAATTGAGTATTTTGGTCAGGCTCAAACAAAACTGGTAATGTCTGATCAATATAACCAGTCCTTGCACGGCAAGGCACATTCCTTCCACTCTTGGCAGGTATCAAAATATCCTTTTGATTGTTTTTACAATACCTAGACAATCTTCTGTGTCCTCCTGGATCAGCTCTACAAGATTATTTAGTGCACTGTCATTACAGTTCGCAAAACTTGCTTTGATAGATGCGTTTCTCTCTTGACGTGGTAGCCCTCCTGGCACACAGTCACATTTTACAATTTCTTTGATGACAACTACTATTGGGTAGTTCAAATCCTCTGACGTAATCAGAAATGGTACCATTACTGTGGTTTCTTCTTTACCAGAAGATAGTAATCTAAACTCTAATACAGCCCAGCCAGTGTACAGGATTGCTGTTCCGGTAGCAGCATTTATTTCGAAGGGACTGTCCAGAAGCTCACTTATATGAAGCTCACTTGACACCAGGGAACTTTGCATTTAAGAAATCATTTGTCATTATCGACACTTGAACCCCTGTGTCCCACAAAACCTCAAGTTGACGGCCATTTAAGAAACAGTTCACCAAACACTTTTCCCCAACAAGGTTTGCCATTTTTGCCAATTGTTTTGGAGTTAAATGACTAACCCATGTTGCTTGGTCAACTTTCTGTTGGCTCTAATTCTGTTTCTCTTCCGCCATTTCCTTCAACATAACACACAAATGTTTATGCATAGGCCACTGTTCTTTTTGGCACTTTCTTCAACAGTAGAAAGTGATTTTACAGTCTGAGCAACGTTTAAGTTGTTACAATGTTACAATGTTACAATGTTACAATAACTACACTGACGGGACCTTGTTTCTGATTTGACTACTGGCGGTCCCCCTTCAGTAGCCTCTGTCCGTTTAAAGATGATTTAGTAAATCTCTTGGGACAGCCAGCTGCAAAGTGGTTGTCGGCACCACAAATAAAGCAGTGTGAGCAGCTACGCTGTCCGATTTCTTGACATGAAGTACATAATGACCTTCTTGGCACTCTTCGACTTCTTTGTCTTGACTCGTCACTGGTCTTTGGACCCTTCATTTATGCACGGAGTGACTCTACTTCCAATCTGATTTCTTTAATTGTTGCCATCACAGTGTCTGACGAAGTTTTTGCAGTGTTACTAGTAGCACTCACTTGTGATCTGGCCATTGACCTTTAGACTGGCCTTGGATTGTGACTTTAGCTTCCTACACCTCTCACTTTCTGATGAAACTGCAGCATTTAGTTGCTGGATGAGGTCTTCATCCAAAACATTTATGTCCTTCAGATATGGCCGGAGTTTTGCACGAATACTCTCATCCTGCAGCCCTGTTTCCACTGTTTTCAAGAACAATTTCTGGATGTGTTCCTTATACTTCAGAACACTTGTATCCTCATCACTTGCGAACAGGATCTTTTGACGTAGGTCAAGGGCACGGATTAGGAATGCTTGGGGGGGGGGGGGGGTCCCTTTGGCCC